TAGCAAGGAGTTGGAAACAACCCAGGTGCCCATCAACAAACGAATGGGTAGAGAAGCTGTGGTATATTCGCACAATGGAGTACTATGCTGCATTGAAAAACAAGGAACTCATTCAATATTATTCAAAATGGGTGAGCCTGGAGGACATTATGCTGAGTGAAATATCTCATTCGCTAAAGGACAAATATTGCATGGTGCCACTGCTGTAAAATGGGACTGATATCAGGGTGAAGGTAAGACTGTGAAAAACTGGATAAATTGTGTATACTACACTGAAACAGATGAGGGACTGAAGAATTTAAAAGCGATGTATGATAGGGCATTATGGTTATCACAAGAGTCCACAATTAAAGTTGCATAGTGGAATGTACTTGGGGCGGTGGGAGGGGTGCGGGGGGATTGTGTACCAGGGAGGGAGTCTTTCTTTTACTCTTGAAAGAGAGGAGCGAACTGGGGGTGCGGGGGGAGAGGGCTGGGCAGGGAGAGAAGTGCAGCAATGAATGAATAGAAATCCAAATTCTCTGTAAATGTTCATTAAAATTATTAAAAAAATAAAATTTAAAAAAAGAAAAGAAAGCATCAAAAGAAAATAGAAGGAATTCTCAAAGATCTGGGAGGGACCTGAAAAGATTGGGTAGTGGTGGGCATAATTCAGTAGGGATTAATTACATAAAACACAATGTATAGGAATTGTATGAAACACCGTGTGGATGAAGCAAAGTGTGAAACACAGTGTATACAAATTTTGTATGCAAACCAATATAAAATATACAAAACCAAAAGAGTGATGGAGAGGTTTACATACAAAGTTCTTTTTCATCACTCTTGTGATTTGTATGTAAACCAGTACAAAATAATTTTTTAAAAAACAGTGAGGAAAAGGGGCAAAAAAAGTTACTATACCCAGAAAGAATTGGCTGACATTCAGAGATTTCAGGAGTTGGTATATAAATAAGAGCTAATAGTATTGAAGGAAGTCCAAGCTGCATTGAAGGTGTTGGTGACAAACAAGGCTCCACAAATTGATGGCATTCTTTTTTTTTTATGTCTTCTAAATTTTATTTTTTTTCTATAATTATATTTTATTAATTTTCATAAACATTTACAGAGATTTTGGGTTTCCATTCATTCATTGTTGCACTATTCTCTCTTCCCTCCTCCCAGTTTGTTCTTGTCCAAATGCCACAGTGCTTGTCAAAGCCAGTTCTGATTAATCTTCTTTGTCAGTGTGTCCTTTGCCATTCCCTATCACTCCTCCCTGAGAGAGACTTCACCCTGAGTCATAAGGAAAAGGGGATGGCGTATTCTCTTAGCTACTTCCTGCTGAAAAGGGACACTGTGGGTTTCAGGGTGAAGATCTTCTCTCACTACTCTAAAGGGCCCCTTTGGCAGTAGGAAACACATAGACTATTATGGAGATTGATTTTGGAATTTAGATGCACTCTTATTGATTGTGCTTGGCTGTACATGTTCATATCCTTGAAGATGTATCATGGGGGTGTTGCAACCTAGAAGACACAAATTTGACTAACAAGTTATAAGTACATGAGTCAAAAATTATGGAAAAGTAAAAGAGAAGATTCTTTCATTGTTTTACAAACCCTCCCCCAGGTCCCCTTCACCATGTAGCCCTCGCTCTAGTCTCCTGTGATGACAGAAATACCTAGTTATATCTCTCTTTTAAACGGTTTTCTCCCTCCTCTGTTTCAGTGCAGTATACATTATTGAACCCATCTTACTCAGTCTCTCCCCAACCCCAAGGACAGTCCCATTCTACAAACATGTGCTGCACCAAAATAATATCTGTACTTACCATGGTTTACAAGGTTACACCAACCTCATCTCCTACCACTCATTAACCTCATCAAGATGCATTCCTTGCCCTTCCTATGTAAGCTGAGCTTCAGTCTATCCTTTTGGCTTTTTTTACTTTTCTATTTCCACTATCTGAAATATGTCCCAGAGCTCTACATTACTCATTTCAGATATTTGCTGAAATGTTATCTTTTCTAATACTTCTTGCTTTCTGTTATTCTCTTAGATAACTGGATTTAATTTTTTTCCCATTTTTCATCTCTGCATATAAGCATAAGCTTCATAAGGACAGGAACTTGTTCTGTCTTAATCCTCAGTGGCTAGAATAATTACCAAAACCAGGCTGCACATGTTGATTTGATTTGTGGCAGTCTCATGTGTGGCATCAGAAACCTCGACAATTGGCTTTTCTATCCATTGCATTAGCCCCAATTGAGGGAATGGTCTCCAGCTACCATAATTGCAGACCCATGGTCTTTCAAATCATCAACAGCTGTGGAACCATTGTAAGAGAGCACTTTCCACACTGTGAAAGACTGTAATGTAAAGAAAGTAAAGAGGCTGTGGCAAAGTGTAACTACAGGAACCCTGCAGATGGAGCTATAGTTAAAGATTTTGTTTACTGGATGACTGAAGCTGACTTGTAACTATTCTGAAATGAAGTTTGCTGATGATTAAGGAAACTGGAGACTTTTTACTTTTGTGCTGCTGAACTGAATCTGAACTTTCACTGCTTGAGGAATTGTGCCTTGTTAATCTGGCTTGGGACTGCTGGACTAAACCTGGACTTCCATTGTGTGACAATCTTTACTTCTCCAACTCCCCAATCTATTTTTCTAATAAGCCACACAACTGTGAATAAAGTCTGTGAGTCAGGTTGCAACAAACATTGGGCCCAGTGAGTCATAGAAATAAGTGCAGGAGCATGTGGGGCAGCATGTCTGACCTTGCAGCTATTTGTTTGGTGCTGTGGATATGATTGATAAGGACAGTTCCCCTTTATGAAATAAGTAGAAGTCAGATTCAGCCTCCACCATGTTGCATCTGCTCCTTTTGCACAGCATATGTGTTCCAAAGAGTTTTCAGTGGATACTTTTTTAAGAAGTATATTTCAAGATCCAGAAACACCTTTAGGTGGACTCTAACTTCCAGTCACTTTGTTTCCAAATGAGCTAACCATTAACATTTACTAGGGACACTACCTAAAACAATACTTGTTATGTATTAGATGCTTACAGAGATTTGTTGGATGAATGAATCCACTGTTTACTAAAAATAGCTGACTTACTGAGTATCCTTATATTAAATTTTCTGGAAACTTTGTACAGGACTTGACACTATTTTCTCATTGTTCACATCTTCTGATTTCTATACTGGCACACTTCATTTTATTTCACTTCAGAGATACTGTGCTTCTTAACATTGAAGTTCTGTGGCAGCCCAATGAGCTAGTCTGTTGATGTTATTATCTCAGCATTATTCACTTCTAACTCTATGGCAAATTTTGGTAATTCTGAACAGTATTCATACTTCCCTCACATTGCTTGTGCACTGGACGACTACAGAATAGCCTAGGCATAACCTTTTTTATGAAATAGGGGAAAGAATTGCATTACTATGTTTAAATACTTTATTTTTGTGACCTAGGAACAAACTTAACACTATTTCTAATGTTTGTCTGTATTGTTGTCCAGTCAGCTACCACATCAGTGTCTCATATACAGTATCTTAAAAGTTGCTACATCCTGTTCATAATTAGCCCAATGTATATTGATTCAAAGATTGAGATTGTCAATAGCTTCAATTTTCTTGGCTCTACAATCAACACTCATGGTACCAGCAGCCAGCAAATCAAAAGATAAATTGTATGGGGGAAAAGCTGCTGTCAGGGATTTGTCCAAGTACTGAAGAACAACAATGTCAGTCTGGAAGCTAAGGTGCCCCGACCCAGGCGTTGGTCTTCACAGTTAGTTGTTATGCATTAGAAAGCTAGACATTGACTAACGATGATAGAAAGAAAATTGATGACTTTAAACTGTGGTGCTGCAGAAGAATATTGTATATACCATGGACTGCTAGGAGAATAAACAGATCTGTCCTGGAGAGGGTAGAATCAGGCTCCTGCTTGGAGGCAAGGGTTCTGAAGCTCCATCTGACATACTTTGGGCATGTTGCAAGGAGGCACCAGTCCTTGGAAAGGGACATCATGCTTGGAAGGGTGGAGGGACAGCACAAGAGAGGAAGACCCTGGGTGAGATGGATTGACTCAATAACTGGGGTAGTGGAGTAGGTATGTCAAAGACAATAAGATTAGCATACGATAGAGCAGGGTTCAGAACTGTTGTACATAGGCCACTATGAGTTGCAAGTGACTCAATGGCACATGACAGCAGCAATATATTGATTCAAACCTGTGTCACCTTCTCCATTGCCTTCAGACCATTAACATCTCTAACTATGGATTACAGTAAATTCCTTGATTCTCTTTTCTTTTTACTCAGGGCATCCATCTTCAGCATTGTCAGATTAAATTCTTGTAGACATTATTTTTGTAACTGTTGTAACATATGCTTTAAAAAAAAACCAACCAGTCACTGGGTTAATATTACATAGAGATTCCTTGTGTTTCTGGAAAGTAGGACTAGTGGACCATGTGATTTATATTTATGGCTTTAATTCTTTGAAAATAATTTGTGTTTAAATAAACCCTCTTTATGCCTGTTTTACAAAAGATATAGCAATGCTTTGTTTTACTTTTTTATGAACTACTTAAGTGACTGTAATCACACAATGTACAAATAGAATGTTACACACTAGGCTTTTGTTATTTTTATTAATAGACTTAAATGAGTGTCTATGCTTCTATTAAAACAATTCTTCCTTTTCTCTTAAGCTCCAGTCTCCGGTGATTATTGAATTGCTGAGGAATTTGGGAAAGGACTGCTGAAGTTTCCATTCCATGGATCCCTTGGGTGCACCTTCCCAGTTTGTGGACGTGGACACATTACCAAGTTGGGGTTGCTCATATGAAGATGAATTAGATTCCTCTGACACTACAGCTGAAAAAGTACAGGAAGGCACAATTAGATCACCTTTTCCTTATAATAAGGATATCAATGGAAAAGTTATTCTTTGGTAATTCTGATTAGAGTAATTCTGATTACTTTGGGCACATGGCCAGGAAAGATCTGTCCTTTGAGAAGGACATCATGCTTAGAAGGGTAGATGGACAGCTCAGGAGAGGAAGACCGTGGATGAGGTGGATTGATACAGTAACTGGGGCAGTGGGAATTAATGAGACTGGCTCAGGACAGGAAAGGAGCTGTATACATAGAGTCACTAAACATTGCAGACAACTGGTGGTACATAACAACAATAACATACTATGGCAGATTTGAAAGCAGGAGTGGCGTCCACTTCCTAAATAACACACCTCCAGAAAAATCTATAAACTTTGATAAATGTCAATAGTTGTGATAGGGTTTCAGGCCTTTTGTTCACAGAGTCGCTATGAGTTGTTCTCGACTCGAAGGCAATAGACAGCAATTCTGATTAGATTCCAGCATGTGATAATATGGTCATATCATTTCTTCTCCATTTTCCTCTTAGAAATACTGGAATTGTTGAAATATTGGTTAGAATAGAATTTTAATGGCATTACTAAGGTGAAGTTAACATATGATGAATTGCACATATTTAAAATACACACTTTATAAGTTATATTTAATATATCTATATCCAGTCAACCATCCCCGTGATCAAGATAATGAACATATCTATCACTTCTCACAAACATATCCTTTATAAATATATCTTTGTAATATATCCCTCTCTATCCCTTCCTGCCCTCACATTCCCTGCAACCACTTAGCTGTCACTGAGATTAGTTTGCATCTTCTAAAGGTTTATATGAATTAAATTGCTCACTTTTTCTCCCCAGTGAAAGTTGTCTGTCTGTCTTTCACTTAGCATACTTACTTTGATATTCATCTGTTACTGCTTGTATCAGTAGGTCATTCTTTTTAACAGCTTTATTGAGAGATAATAAACATACCTTAAGTTCACCAGTTTTAATTGTAGAGTTCCACATTTTTAAGTATAGCTCGGAATTGTGCAGCCAACACTGCAATCAACATTACAACATTTTCTCCCCCTGAAAAACAAAGCACAGTACCCACTCGGAGTCACTTGACATATCCCCTCATTTCTTAGCCCGGCTTATCATTGCCATCAGTCAAAACTGATTCATCGCTGACCCTCCAGAAGGTTTTCAGAGGCTGTGAATCACATGGGAGGAGATTACCCTTTTTTCTCCCAAGGAACAGCTGGTGGGTTTGAATGGTTTGCCTTTGGCTTGGCAGCACAACTCCTTAACCTACTAGAGTTCTCAGCTCTAGGCAACTACTAGTCCACTTTCTCTCCTTACGTGTTTTGCCAGTTCTAGAAGTATAATTATACAATATGTGGGATTTTGTGTCTAGCTTTTTTAATTTTGTAAATGTTTTCAAGATTCATTCATGCTGTAATGTTTATTAATGCATTATACCTTTTTGTGGCTGTGTAGTATTCCATCATATGGATATGCCAGATTTTATCAATTATTTCTACTTTTTAACTGTTTTGAATAATGCAACTATTTCTAGAATCTCTTCAAATAGACTGCTTTTAGTTCTGTGTAAACAGGTAGGTATTCTATAGATATGAAAGAGAAATTGGTCAGATGAAAAAGAATGATGACAGTTTTATGAGGTATGTGGGTATAACAGTTGTATTAATCTATCCAAGATGCCAGATAAATCTTTCTTTCTGAATTAGGGCTCTCTTTATAGTTGTAATTGGCTTGTAAACTAGGCACAAGTGAAGTTGCAAAAAACATGAAAAAGATGTGTTGGAAAAGGTAAAAAAATAGCTTTCTTATTCTCTTGTTCCCTTCTTTACTGTATTTCTTCAGGAAAGGAGATGTAGCAATACTAAACTGTACGGCCATTGTGAATACCAGCAATGAGAGTCTTACAGATAAGAATCCTGTATCAGAAAGTATCTTCATGCTTGCAGGGCCTGATTTAAAGGAGGACCTCCAGAAACTTAAAGGTGAATAAGTTTTCTTAGGCATATTATTGCTAAGGACACATTTCTTTTTATTTGCCCTACCTTAAAGAAGCATGTTTAGACTTTAATATTCTTGAAATATAAACAGCAAATTTTACTTATGTAAAATCTCACTCTCCTCAACTTCATTTCATAGTGACAACTATTTTTTAATCTACTAAGAATATTATAATTTGTATAGGAATGCTTATTATACTGGCTATTTAAAGAAGGGCTAGGTGGAAAAGAATTTCAGAACCTGAACCTTGACATGAGGGCAGAAAAAAAGGAACAGTTACCGTCAAGGTAATGCCAAATAAAAGCATCTTCCAGGTGTCAAAGTACAACTCTCCTTTGTAGGTTTTTCAGTATCTGATTTTTCAAGTTGACTGTCAGGTCTTCTTTCAGCAGTGCCTCAAACCATCAGCCTTTCAGATCCAAAGAATAATAGTTCCTAATTTCAGCCTCAAAGTAAACTACCATTAATAGTTTGCAAAAATTAGGAAGAATAGTAAAGATAGTACTAAGAAGTTTCTTAGTAACAAACACTGATTTAGAGAAAATTATAATGACTTTGTTTACATCCGTTTTCACATACAAGGAATCCTGGTGGTACAACAGTTAAATATTTGACTGCTAATGGTAGAGTCAGTGGTTCAGATCCACCAGCCAATCTGTGAAGAAAAAGACTATTTCTAAAGAGTATCCTTTGGAAACTTTTTGAGACAGTTCTGATCTATCCAGTAGGGTTCCTTTGAGTCTGGAGCAACTGTGTATAGCATACAATAAAATTTTTATATGTATTTTATCGCTATACTTACTGATAATTCAAACAAATAATTTAACCAAAGTGTATGTAGATACAAGCCCTAGTGGTGTAGTTTCAAGACCTCAGCTATTAACAGACAGGTTAAGTTTCAGACCCTCTAACTGCTCCGTTGAGAGCTCTGGTGGCCTAGTGTTAAGAAGCTGCGCTGCAGTCCAGAAGGCACATGATTTGAATCCCCCAGCTGCTTCATGGAAGAAGAATGGGCAGTCTACTCCTTTGTGGTTGACTGCCTCGAAAAACCTGCTTGGAGGGACAGCTATGAGTTGGTTCCAGCTCAATAGCATGTAACAACAACAAGCTGCTGCATGGGAGAAAGGTGATAAGACTGTCTGCTTCCATGTAGATATGCAGCCTTGGAAACCCTGGAGAGCAATTCTTCTTAGCTCTATAGAGTTGTTATGAGTTGGAATAAACTTGACAGTTACAGATTTCACTTTGATTATTATTACAAATAAAACCTCAGAAGTTAACAGCACATCTGAAACTCCAACATAGAAATATTGTTATAAATCTCTTACTGTGTGATTTAAGGCCAATCATTTCATCCCTGAACCTGAATTCTATATTTCCAAAGTGGTGATGATAATAGTTGTACCTACCTCTGTTCTTGACACATAACAAGAACTCAGTATGTTTGAAAAATGGGAAAATGAATTTGTGAGGACTAGAGGCTTAGTGGTAAGGAGTTGTACCACCAGGCCAAAAGCATGCAGTTTAAATCCATTCCTCAAGAGAAAGATGGGCAGTCTCCTCCTAAATGATGCTCCCTCTCAAAACCCATTGGAGGGTCATTTATTGGCTGGTTCCAACTAGATAGTACCTAACAACAACAAATATAAAATAGAGTTCTCAGCCCAAAAGCAAGCAGTTCAAACCAGCCAACTACTGGACAGAAGAAATTTGGGCAATCTCCTCCCATGTGATTTGCAATCTTAGAAAACCAACTGGAGGGTCAGGTATAAATAACTTTCCACTTGATGGTACAAAGACAGACAAGGAATAAAAGACCAAGATGGATGTTAGAATAGACTCCGAATATTGCACTAGAGTGCTGAGCAGCCAAAGCAAAGGGAAGAAATTAAGAGCTGAACAGAAGATTCCAAAGGGCAGTGCCAAAAAACGAAGTATTATAATGAAATGTGTAAAGAGTCAGAAAACCAAAGGGCCGAACTCACTTGGCATTTCTTAAGCTGAAGTAACGGAAGAACAAATAATTGCAAAGGATGAATTTACCAATTTTGTAGATAATAGAAAGCTGAAAGGAACAAGGGAAGAAGTTTATATTAGAGTGAAGATTATTAAATATCTGAAGTATGAGCCAAAAATAAGAAGTAGTTAACAGTATAAAAAAAAAATTGAAAGATTTTTAAACACTAATTGATTGGCTTAAAAGCAGAAAAGGTATAAATCAGAGTTTTGTTCTTTCTACATACCTGTTCATTCTGTACACTGAGCAAATCATTGGAAAAGTAGGACTGTACAAAGAAGAATGTGACAACAGCATACATACTTTTAACCCAGTATTTTTTTTTAATCTCATTTCAAATATATGCTGTTTAGAGATACTAAAACTCACTCAGTGCTGTCTAGCTGCAACCTCATAGCTGACCTTCCATTGGGTTACCAGTGTTATAAATCTAATGGGAGGAGATTGGTTGTTTTTCTCCTTCAGAGCCACTGGTGGATTTGAACCACATGAAAGCTTGACACATTCTTAATGTTGAGCAAATACCATTATTTATGTTAACAATTAGACATCAGTTGTCTTTTAAATGGTTTAGTGGTGATGCAGTGAAGGGCTGAATACTTTATCCTATTACCTTTTTACCACCGGAGAGGTATGGCCTTTTGGTTAAAAAGCAGAACTCCCTATGGATTGTGTCACCAGAAATCCCTTAGGGATGTTTGTTGTGTGCCATCAAGTCAAAACAGGAGGAGATTTCACCTTTTTCTCTCAAGGAGCAGCTGTTGGATTCGAACCACTTGCCTTTCGGATTACAGTGCATCTTTTTACTACTAGGCCATCAGAGCTCCATTAGAGATGATGCTTCTTGTTGTCTTTGAGTCAAGTAAAATTCATAGCTACCCTGTTAGAAGCTAACCTGAACCCTGTTCTATTCTGTGCCATCCTCACACTTTCTCACACTTGAGCCACTCCTGAAGTCACTGTGTCAGTCCACGTATTCTGAGTCTTCCTCTCCTTCACTGACCCTCTATCTTTCCAATCTTGATGTCTATTTCCAAGGAATAGCCTCACCTAGCTACATGTCCAAAGTATGAAAGATGAAATTTTGCCATCTTTGCCTCCAAGGATCACTCTGGTTTCACTTTTCCCAAGATTTACATGTTTGTTCTTTTGGCAGTCCATGGGATATTCAGTGCTGTTCTCTAACACCACAACTCAAAAGCATCAATTTTTCTTTCATCCTTATTCATTGTACAGCTCTAATGAGTTGCAGAAGATTGAGAAGACCGTGTTCTGAATCAGGCATACTTTAATCTTCAAACTGACATGTTTGCTCTTCAGCATTTAGGAAATGCTTAAGACCTCCAATATATGAAAAGTGACACTTCTTAAAGTTCTGTAATAACAAAACACAGTAGTAGTGAATGAATCCTTGTTTAGTACTTTGTGTATAGCAACTCATGTAGACCTGAGAAGTAAGATCTATTTATATCTTTTTTAGACCTGTGAAGTAAGTTCTGTTAATACACTCTGTAGACCTGTGAAGTGAGTTCTGTTAATATTCTCTTTAAAAAGAAATTGAGGCCTGGAGAAATCGAGTATCTGTCCACACCAGCACAACAGGAATGTGATGGACTCAGGATTTGAGCAAAATAGACTTTCTTGAATCTTACACTACCTGTCAGTATAGTCCAGTTTGCTTTTTTTGTTTTTATTATCATTGTTTCCTCATTCTTGGAAGCAGTTAGAATTCTCTGTTCTTTTATGTTGTTTTGTGCCATTGAGTCTGAATCTTATTGCTGGCCCTCCAGCAGGTTTTCAGAGGCAATAAATTGCACAGTAGGAGATTGCCCAGCCCTCTCCCATGGAGCAACTGGTGGATTTGAAATATGTTTCTTTGGGATTGCAGAGGAGCTTCTTACCACTAGGCCACCAGAAGAACTCTCTATCGTAGACTTTACTATTAGTCCATGAACTTTCTACCTTCTAAATTTTTTTATAATGCTTTCCTGCTCCCAGGTTTCTCTTCCATTCTATTTGTGGGTTATAACCTATTCTATTTCTTCACTGTCATTTTGGGAACTGAAGGTACAGAGATAAATACAAGTATTCAATTAATGTTTATAACCAAAATTTCTCAAGGTTTTTAAATACTTTGTTTTGCTGTTTCTTCTGAGATCTCTATGATTTTTTTAAATTTATTCTTCTATTGTGCTCAGGTTGCCGGACAGGTGAAGCAAAATTGACCAAAGGATTTAATCTAGCTGCCCGGTTCATCATTCACACAGTGGGACCTAAGTACAAGAGCCGCTACCGCACAGCAGCTGAGAGTTCCCTGTACAGCTGCTACAGAAACGTGCTTCAACTGGCCAAGTATGGCTCACTTGTTTCCTGAACATATTATGCCATACATAGTTAAAGGCCCTGGCTTTTAATGATGAAACCTAACTATAGAAGTCTAATTTTTAGAGACTTAGATCATTTAGGGGAGCAATAAGGGTAAAATTATGTTTTCAAACATAGCAGGGTAAGTGGAATGGATCTGGTGACTTGACACTTTAACCTGTTTCTTTTTTACACAAGTCTTTACTTGGGATATATATCCCCTAATATGTTGTTGTTAAGTGCCATCAAGTCGTAGGTGACTCATAGCAACCCTATGAACAAAAGACCTGGACACCTGTGTAACTTTTGTCCTTTCTCCAGGTTCATAGGGTTTCCAGAGGCAAGCTATTTTGGAAGTGGATGTCACTAGTGCTTCCAAGCTTGTTTTAATCGGGGACAATTATCTAGTATAATCATTAATGAAACATACATACTGTTACAGTTGAAGTGGTAGGGATGGAGAAGTTGAGCTACATTTTGAAATTTTTTTTAATGCCATTGTATTTTTAATGTATATGTATTTTGAAATTTTTAGTACATTTTTTGTGTTTTCTTTTGATTGCAGAGAACAGTCAATGTCTTCTGTTGGATTCTGTGTCATAAACTCTGCAAAACGAGGTTATCCTTTAGAGGATGCAACACATATAGCACTTCGTAAGTAATATTAGTGATGATGTTCATAAATTAACTCTTCAAGTTTTATTTATCACTGGTTGCATAGTTAGACGTCACTGTGCTCTACTATTAGCAGAAAACTTGGCCGTTTGAGCCCCCTCTAAAACTCTTCAGGAGATAGGCCCAGCCCTCTGCTTCTGGAAGATCACAGCCTTCAGACCCCTAAGGAGCAGTTCTGCTCTACTCCACACGTGGAGTCATCATGAAACAGAGTCAGTTCAGCAGCAACCATAGTTGTATGTATAGTGATAGCCAAAGTAGATTAACTGACCATGGCACCTTGCAGGGATGTTTCTGTTGATAAGATGCACCACTCTCAATTTACTTTCTGCAATGACATTTTTATCCACTTGAGTAAGGATTGTCTTTGAAAATTATTCCAAGCTGGGATTTATGTTCAGTGCATAGACTAGTTGCTTCAAAATTTGAAGAAATCTTCAGATTAAAGTAATGAAATAAAGACATTTTCTTTTATTTGTATAGCACTTTGTAGTGTAAAAAGCAGCTCTCTCACGTGTGCTATTTAAGTGTAAAACCCTGCATTTAGGTTTAAAACTAGTCTTAAAAAATAAGTCTTGGTTCAGTTCTTAGGAACTCACGTGTGATATAAAAATATAGTCCAGCTCAAGATAGTCCATATCATGAGTCTGTATCATATGCAAGCTGAGGTCACATCTGGAGTTTTCTTATGTGGTTATAGGTGTCATATCTCATGAGAGACTGACAATCTAAAGGACAGTCCAGTGGAAACGTTAGTGCTGTTCCTCCTGAAAAAAACCAAAAATGTTTTTAACAAATCTGATGCCCATGTTCAAATGTCTGAAGAAATCTCATTGCGGATTTATCCTGTGATAGTCTCTTTAGAACAGCAGTCCTAACTACATTACGTATGTGATGGAAGAAAAGTTACAAGCTATTTCCCCAGAAGATTATACGACCTACAGAATGTGCATATTCAGGAACAATACAGATCCTTGTAAGGACTGTAAATGAGAGTGAACGAACTCAGTCCCACAAGGATAAATATTGTATAAAATCATTATTGTAGAATGAGTATGTGGATCCAAGAGGGGTGGGAGAGGTTGGAAGCAGAGAGAGATGTGGATGTGCAGGAGGGCGGGGAATTAATCATGGGGTTGTACAGTTTGATGGGTCGGGGGTTAAGGGAAAAGGAAAGAATTTGTTCATATTTGTATTTGAATTTTGTAAATAAACTAGTAGAAAAAAACCTTAATTTAAAAAAAAAAAAAGAAGAAGACGAATTCTAGCCTTAACAGATGAACTTAAGACCAGGTTTTATTTAGAGAAGGAAAATTTGGTCCTATTTGAGATAGGATTATCCATAACACAGAAGTATACTTTTAATGAAATTTCCATTACTGGAAATCTTCATCCTTGACTAAATGACTATTTAGGGCAGAAAACATTCTTCATTTGGGTGAGGAATCATGATAGATGATATTTAAGATCTTTAAAATAGCTTTTTTTACACTAGAATTTATGTTTTATGTTGTTGTTGTGTAGTCAAGTCAGAACTGACCAATAGTTGACCCTTTAGTGGGTTGTTTTGAGGCAGTAAGTCCTACAGGAGGAGAATGCTCATCTTTCTGCTATGAGCAACTGATGGATTCAAACCATGTTCCTTTTGCATTGGCCACCAGAGCTTCCTGAATGTTTTATATCACCCTCAAATTACAAAACAATCTAATGTATAAGTTTGCTTTTAATATATAGCCTGTAATTAAGGATAAGGAATTATTCAGTCTTAAATAGCTATTTTTAAAAATGAAGTTCTTTCTGCTCAAGGATTTTATAATTTTATGTATTGTTTTTAAAGTTAAAAATTTCTTCTACATTCATTATATAGACTGTGAGCTTCTTGAGGGCAAGGAGCTTGTCATTTCATCTTTATTATTTCCAGTGATTCCAGGAATTCCTGACATACAGTATTTGCGAAAAAACTGTGTAATAAAGGAATAAATAATTTCTTTAGCAACTGTTTGTGTCCATCACATAGTGGTTTGGCAAGTTCTTATGTTCTAAGTTATACTCAGGCTTACTAGAAACATATTTGAGAGGGTAAACAGGTCATGCTTGATAACAGCAGATAAAGATCAGTAGTGGTTATAAGGCTTTTGATGAAGAAATTTCTAAGAATTTACTTAGCAAAATGGAAATGGATGCTCCCAAGTTGAGCAAGTAAACTTTAAAACGTGTAGGTTCCTTTTGATTTATTATACCATAAATCTAGTGACATAGCTATGTTGTTGTTGTTGTTGTTGTTGATTGCCTTTGAGTCGAGCACAACTCAGAGCAACCCTATGAACAAAAGGCCTGAAGCCCCTCTACAAATATCAACATTTATCTACTCTGGAGGCATGTTATTTAGGAAGTAGTTGCCACTACTGCTTCCCAGACACATTGGACTCATTAAAAAATACACACTCTCTTACACAATATAGCTCTTTGGCCACATACTCTTAAAGCATTTAGAAAACAAATAGCTTGTATACTTTTGTATCATATATGGATCAAGGAAAGATGTAATGATATCACTCTTAAGTTCTTAGTATCAAAAGTTTTCTTAGTTAATAAACTTACAAAAATTTATTTTCTTGAAATTTGATACTTTCTTGATAAAGGTATCAAGATTCCCCCCTTAGATACACATGTATTGTCCAGAAGAAGCCTAAAGAAACATCTGCATTAAAATAAATATATTATTTATTCATTCAACAAAAGTTCGAGTGACTCTTATTGGGCTATATATAAGAGGATATGGTGGTGGGATAAAAAATAAAGGATGATGTTTATTCTTTCTGCATTTTCAGGTTGAGAATTTTAGTGTCCCAGATGTCATTCTTACCAGTTGGAGGAAAAATTTATAGTCATGTCATCCTTTCTTTTCTTTTTGTTTTTTAGCCTTGTGCATAAAAGAAAATGCAATTTTGAAAGCTTTTTCTTTTAAAAAATTATTAGAGGGAGAAATGAAAAATTAACATATCTAGCAGAGGGAGATTATGAATGTGTGTGTAGTTCTTAAGCAAATACATCTTCACTATTAGCTTCTCCAGATACAGTAGTGAACTAGGCCAGCAATATGTAGATAACCAGAGCTAGAAAATGTCAGTTAAGCTTCCAGTTAGTTTGAATGATTATTTGATATATTCCTCATTACTATTGCAAGGCCCTCATAGTATTAGTATCATATATAATTAATTGTTCTTCAGAAAACTCCCAGTCGATCTAAAAACTATGATAAAAAGTTCACTAAGAGCTGTTAGAAGTTTATAGGGACACAAGGAGGACAACTTTGCAATGAGTTTTGAAAAATGGTTAGATGTTAACAAGATAAAAGAATTTAATTAGTAATATAGGATTGGGAAGGGAGTGGCATTTCAGTCCCAGGTAACCCTATGAGTAAAACAGCATAGCCATTAATAGAATGTTCTTAGTGAAGAAGCTAATGACTGCGTGAATATGTGAGAGGAATGATTGGGAATAAGACTAATGTGTGGTAGGGGGGCAATTGGTTAAAATTTGTTGTATGGAGCACCATGCTAGGGACTTAAAGCTTAACCTCTAAGCAGCATGGAGCCGGCAGAAGGACTCAGTAAGAAAATAACTCAGGCATCAGTGAACAGGGAGACATCATGTCAGACTCTGTAACTATTGAAAACCTAAACCAAAGCTACTGGAATAGATGTTAGAAATATTAACAATAGGATTAGCAGAACATGACTGTTGTTATGTGCCATTGAGTCACTTGCGAATCATAGCGACCCTATATATAATAGCCCTAAACTCTGCTCTGTCCTGTGCCAATGACACTGTCTCTGACATTCCCATCC